AAAAAGGTCTGTTTTTATTTGCGACTTTATCAGTCACTCAATAATATTCCAGAACTATAAAATCTTATTCTCACATTCCATTTTTATTTCCATATTAATATTTACAAGTTAATATATATAACAATAAATGACATCATGGAAAAAATCCGGATTGCTTACTTAATTGTGCTGCTTTTATGAAATAAACTAAACATTTACGGAGTGATGACCACGAAGATTATGGATTAGTAATGTACATACAGCAACACGGAGATTTGTACGTGCTACATCACCCTTGTGATCTGTCAGCTTTGACTCCAACCACCAGTCCATGTCCTGTTTTAAGTTCTCAATATTTCTGAATAAAATTTGTAGTTGACTTGAAAGTAATGTACAGTATTATGACTAGGCTAGAAATTTGAAAGTATAAATAAATAGAAATCTACTGCAAACTGATTTGCATGTTCTCTTTCTAAAATATATAGAAAAATCAAATTAATGATTTAAAACAATGAGAATAATAATAATAATATATATAATATAATAACTAATTTGATTGTCGTATAACGATTCTTTCTAATCGCACACCATCAGATCTAAAAAAAGTAATTAATAATTAATAGTATAATTATTATTACAGAATATAACAACTAGAATTTTTGATGTTGAATTTTGTAAAATATTTTTTATCTAGTTGTATGATATGTGGGTTTGATTATTATGCATATTTGAAAATGCCATATAAGTGTTTAAAATTTCAAAAAAACATCAATAAAAGTATATTCGTAATAATAAAAATTAATTTTTTCAATTTTGTTACACGAAGTTTCTGCACAAATCCTGCTAAGAGATTATTGGCTACCTTTAATGTAACACACGCGCCCGCAAACAATTTCACACACTGCTTGGAATTATTTTCCTAAATAATAACAACAATTATTATGAAAATTTAAATAATATAAATAATAATAATAATAATAAAATATACCTGGAATATTTTACACATATTGCTTTTGTATTCTATATATTTGGCACCAATTTTGCTATGTAATGTTTGATGTGAAGGAAACACTTTCTACTGTTCTGAATGGTAAACATTCTGTAATAATCCAATCAACAAGATTATTAGAAATATCTAAATGATCTTGTCCTTGTAACTTCATTTTCCCTTTAAATGCTGCTTCAATAGAACCTTCTTTTCTTGGCTGAATTGTTTCATGATTTTTTTCCAATGTTCAGTGAGAGTTGTTGTAGAACATTTTGCAGCATATTTTTGATTACAATAATTACATATTGAATGTAAATGGATTCCATTATTATCAAATATTTTTTCGAAATGCTTCCAAGTATTACTTGGTGGTATATTTTTCTTTTTAACAATACCAGAAATCTCTTTCCCAGTTATTATTTCTTGATTTTCTTGAGCATTCTCTTGAGATGTTTCAGATAATGGTTGCTCTGTTTCATTGGCATCATCAGTCATTTTTTGTTTGTGATAAAAAAAAATATAAAATCAGGCATAAAGAATTACAAATTAAATGCTTTCTTACGAACAAATACTTTAAAAATATATCTTTATTTGTTTAAAATAATATAATGATGATAATCTCATCTATACAATTGTTTCTAAACATAATTAGTAAAAATATAATTATAATTTGTTCGACTACAATGTTTAGAGTTATTTCTTAATTTGTATGTTGTATAACTTAAAATTGTTGATTAAAAAAATCTCTGATAATCAAATTTGATGGGCATGTGACCAAATTCCATCAACCCCATTGACTTACCAATGACTTTATATCTTCAAGTTGAGCTAAACTGTGACTTGAAATTTTTCAAGTCAAACCGAATCAAAAACTTGTATACCTCAAGTCAAACCAAACTGGTCCCATCGGTCCAGTTCGGTTTGGTTCGGCTTAGCTAATACTTAACAACACTAATCTTGTATTCAATTCTTCCTTCAAAGTCTGTTGTACAGAAAACATGCTATGTTGAAAATCAGTAAATGTGAATCTTGTCCAACTGTTATATAGAATGTTTTCAGGGTGCTGTCTGTTATACATTATATAAAATTTAACTAATAAAATCCATTATAGAAATAGTAAAAAATCAGGCCAGAATTTTTTGTCCATTATAGAGAAAAATCTGTTATAGAAAGATCCATTATAGAGAGTAAACTGTATGCAAATTCTGCTACAGGTAAGTATTCATCCCATTGGTCTTGATTGTATGTTGCATAAATTCTTAACATTTCTTCTAACATACGATTCATTCTCTCTGTTTGTCCATCTGACTGAGGATGAAAAGCTGTAGACATTGACAACTTGGTACCTAATTGTTGAAAAAGTGTTTTCCAGAAATTGCTGGTAAATTTTGCATCTTGATCTGAAATGATTGCTTTGGGTAATCTATGATTTTTAAAAATGACTGAAAAGAAAAATTTTGCAACTTCAGGAGCAGTAAAATGTGCTCATTTTGTTAATTTGTCAGCAAATACTACAATTGCATCTTTTCCTTGATAAAATCCATCCTGCAGGTGTTTGATTACTGCTCTTATTATGTTGGCATTCATTACAACTAAGTATATATTTATGTATGTCTTTATTCATTTTAGGCCAATAAAAATTTCTCATAACTAATTCACATGTTTTATCAATTCCAAGATGACCAGTGATTTTAACATCATGGTGTTCCTTTAAAATTTTTGTTCATAAGGCTTTGTCAGCTGGGACTGCTAGTCTCTTTCCATCTATTAAGTTTATTTTACCATTTTGAAGCTCAAAATATCTAGCTCTTGCTTGTTGCATTGCATCACTATTTTCTAAATTATTTAAAATATTCCAGATAGGACCAAAATAATTATCATTTAAATAAGCTTCTTTCCAATTAATATGATTGTCCAATTGTGTAGAGATAATTGAAACATTAGCAAGATGAGGTAAGCAAGAAAGAGCATCAGCAACTACATTTAGTCTTGCCTGGATGATATTTTACTTCAAAATCTATTGATTGCAACAATTCTAACCATCTGGCTTGTCTTTGTGAGAGGTTCATTTGAGATTTAATGAATTCAAGAGATGCATGATCATTTATGACTGTAAATTTTTGTCCTTCCAGGTAAGTATGTCACAATTTTATAGCATGAACAATAGCTAACAGTTCCTTTTCATGTGTAGGGTAATTTAGACAATTTACAAGACTCATATGCACCCTTCCCCTGATTTTGACTTAATACTGCACCTATTGCATCTGTTGTTAGAATGAAAGGCTTTGTTGGGTTGGGTAAAAGTAGAACTGGAGCAGATGTCAACTTATCATCCCATTTGAATGATTTTTCCTTTTTTAATAAATTGGTAAGAGATGCAGCTACTGCTGAAAATCCTTTAACAAATTTTCAATAATAACTTGCTAATCCTAAGAAGGATCTAACATCAGATACATTTTTAGGTATAGGCCAATTTCTGATAGTATCAATTTTTCAAGTGTCCACTGCTATTCCTTCTGCAGAAATGTAATGACCAAGGTATTCAACTTTCTTTTTAAAGAATTCACATTTATTAATCTTTGCATATAACTGGTGTTTCCTAAGAATTTCCAAAACTAAACTAATTTGTTTAAGATGTTCCTTTTTTGTATGACTGTAGATTAAAATATCATCAAGATAAATGATAACGAATTGATCTAGATATTCTCTAAAAATTCATGAGGATCATGAATGTCACAGGTGCATTGGTAAGTCCAAAAGGTAAAACTAAGAATTCATAATGTCCATAATGAGTTCTGAATGCAGTCTTATGAATATCTTCTTTGATTCTAATTTGATGATATTCAGAATATAGATCTATTTTGGTAAAGTAATTAGCACCCACAAGTCTATCCATTAATTCATCAACACTTGGTAATGGTATCAATTCTTAATTGTAATCTTGTTCAAAGCTCTATAGTCAATACATAAATGAATGGGGTGTTGCATATCAGCATAAACATAAACATAGTTGAGCGCACACATAAAAAATCATATGTGAGGATTTTTTATTGGGAAAATGCAGATCAATTTAACAAATAATTCTCTTTGTCACTAATTTCATTGCCTGTAATTAATTTCATCATGCATAACTAATTTCATAATTATGTATTATGTGTTATGTTTTTGTGATACTTCTTTAAAATTAAAAAAGCTTCAGATATACAAAAACACTAATTTTTATACTCATGATCGTAATAACCTGAGCTACCAAATAATGTAAATTTCATTATGTAAGATTTTGCAGAATTTTTGAAAAAATGCGTTTGAATACTTTTTAGATTAGAAATGTGATGATCTTTCTAAAATGGATTTCATATATATATATATATCTACGAAATTTTCAAAATTAATCTAGTCCACCAATTCTTTTTCTAGAGTTATAAAATTAGTATCAAATATATGGTCAGTTGACAAGGACAAAAGTTTAAGGCTGAACCTCAAGTGCCTAAGGATTCAGCCTTAAGGGTAAAACCCAAGCACTTGAGGATAAACCCTAAGTCACTTGAGGATAAACCCTAAGTCACTTGAGGATAAACCTCAAGCAAAAAAAATTTCCATTTTTGGTATCAATATTTTTGTGTAGCTTGAGAATATCCTCAAGTGCTTGGGTTTTATCCTCAAGTGACAAATTTTATGTAATTTATCAAGTTAAACTTGAAAATATAATTTAACTATAAAATAAAGAATTAATTGATAATTTTTTTAATTTTATAATATCAATAAATTGTCTATAATGGATCACAGCCAATAAAAAAGGGCAAACTTTTTTTTATTTGAAAGATTCTCAAGAGGATTTTGAAATCTTTATTCAAAATACACTTCAAAATGCTAACAGAATGCTTAACTCTGATGATGTAAATTCAATTGAATTACATATAGAAAGGCTTGATCTTTTATTAGCCATGTTTACACAATTTATTATTAATTTTCCCAATGATAATATTCTGGGATTTTTACCAGAAATTATAAACCTAAAAAGACAACTAGAAACCAAATAGAAACTTTAAATTCAGAAAATAATAACCCAATAAATAAGTTTATTTCATATAGACGTACTAGTGGTAGACCTACAATATTAATTAGTGAAAATGCAATCAGAATTTTGAGAAAAGAAGGGCTTAGTTGGGAAAAAATTGCTACAGTGCAGGACACCTAATCCTGCAACTTACTGCGCCACGACGACGAATTTTGGGAAAAAATTTCCAATCAAAAATGCAATAAAAATTGTTTTGTCATG